ATTATTATCTCTCTCTCTCTCTCTCTCTCTCTCTCTCTCTCTCTCTTCATTGAAAACTCGAGATTTTTGTCCAAACAAAGACGCACGTGATATCTTATGCCTCGTATTAACGTTAATAAACTTTTATGATAATCAATTTGTACTCGCGGGAATGAAAATACGAGAAATAAACGTTTAGATTTACTTCGATAACGACAATTCTGGAATCCCTTGCAATCTTCGCATCCCTGTTCTCGCTCTCGAAGTTTCCGAACTTTTCGTATTCGAGCGAACACCGAACGAGTAGTCCCCAACGTCGTCAGGGGGTGCTTTCGTCGCGCGATCAAAATTTCCTTACCGATTTGAAATGCACTTCTCACGTATGAAGTTAATGGCGTTTAAAAATTCAAGGCTCATTCGCCGCACTTAATCCGTCTCATCGGTCGGCAGCCGGAGGGTAATGCCGCTCTCAAAAGCGCCGCATTAAATGTTTATTGTTCGTCTACTCAAAGGCTACTTCGACTAGTCGTACGGCTAGTTTCACGAGGTTAACCTAGCGGGAAGCCAGCAACGATACCGCAGAGAGGATAAGCTAAAACCGGAGTCTAGTTTCGTTCGGTAGCGGCCGCCGCCGCCGCCGCCGCCGCCGTCGCCGCCATCCCTGCAAGTGCCCATCCCTTCTGAATATTTTAGGAAGTTCGGGCGCACGTATTCCACCTCCTCGCCACATTATATCGAAGTCTCCGAGGGGGATGGGCCCAGAGGCAAGGATGTACCATCCGGGGTACATATACATTCCCGCGATTAAGTTCACGGACGGGGGGAAACTGACGCGGGAAAATTGTAGATGGGGCAGCCGCTGCCGAGAGACGCATGGCAATGAAAGAGAAATCCACCAAACGGATTTGCGAAATTCGACGAATGCTTACGTCGGTTTATCCGGCAGTTCGTGCTCGGCGGCCAGTCGCAGATCCTCCAGCGCGAAATGATACTCTTTGAGGGCCATAAAGATCTCGGCTCTTCCCAGCAGCGCCAGGGGCAACGACAGACCCTGATCGACCTTCTTGTTTCTACCTGAAACAGATATTATCGATGACGTGTGATTCGGAAAAATATCGCTGCTTGGCTCCGCAATCCCCACTCGTCGATTGCCATCGCGTAAGCGAATGTAACGATTTATCGACACAAAACCAATGAAGCTATGAAAATGCGAGGGCTCTTCGACCGACTAACGTATGTCGCCAGAAAGCGGGCAAAACTGAAGTGAAGTATTTATTTCACTTGTGTGAACCTGGCAGGATGCCAAAGCAGACGCGGATCGGCTCGTCTCGACACACACGTTTTACTAATTATAATTCTAACTATAATTCATAAAAATATTAAAATATTCATTGGATTCGGGGGAAAAAAATCCGATGAAGATCGTACACAACATAAATATATCAACAAATAACCTTTAATCCTCCATCACCGAATCATCGCTTTAATATAAATTTAAATTAATTAGCAATTAATAATTAAATTAAATAAATAGCCATTATATTGTAGTAAATAATAATTATATATAATTTAATGAAACATTTGTAGCGTCGCATTCTAATTACGGAAATATATAAGTGTATATTATTTTATATGAATAAAAAAAATGTAAATTTAACGATTGATTAATTAATAACCCCGATTAATTAATAACGATTGATTAATTAATGGCATTCAATAATTGTGTCTAAAACTTTAATCGCATCAAAATCTATTATATCATTGTAAATAATTCATATGGTCAAATGTTAATAAGCAGGATCTATCTAGAGGCATCTCATTGTCCAAAGAATTTTCAAATATAAAAAATGTAAGCAAAATATAAAATAAAGTGATACGAGGATACGATATTTATAGTTAATTTCGACATTTAGAAATTTTCCGAATAATGGACATATGAATATTCTTGTAGCGACCTGGCTGAGGCGCACGCAGGACAGCTTGACTGAACAGCAAAGGGCCTTGTCGTGTTCGCCGACGGCGGCGAGCTGGTATCCCTCGAGTCGCCTACGCCTGGAGATCTCCGCGTCCTTGTCCCGAAAGAGGGGCTTCACCTTCGCGAGCGTGTCGGCCACGACGTCCCTTACTTTCGCGTCAGCGAAGATCGCCCTTACCCGTCCCTCGTCGTCGTCGATCCGGCCGAATGTCCCCGACGTCCAGGTATCGCCCGCGGTTTGCATCACGAGCTCGCTGAAATCGTGGAAGAATCCCTTCCTGCCGGAGCGCAGGGTCTCCGACGAGCAGAGGGTCCTGTAAAATTCATCGTGATCCTGCATTCTTGCGCGCGCGGCGGAAGGACGCGCCCGGCGTGCCGTGTCCCGTGTAGAAGCCCTTTGTGCCGCGTTCCTCCCTCTCTCTTCCCCCACCCCCCCCCTCCTCCTCTCCCCGACTCTCAGCCCGTGCTCCGTTAACGAGATCCCTGTGTATATGCGAGCGAATCGCCCTTAGCCATAGGGCTGAAATACGGCCCGTCCCGTTTTTATATCGCAGATTATATCGTATCCTCTTAGTTTTGTTACGATTGCGCCGCTTACATAAGTTGACTTCTCCTTCCCTTCATTCTATTCCGTTTTATTTAAGGTACATCTTTATACTTTCCTTTTTCCGCTAATAAGTATATTACTCTCTTTCGGCCCGTTTTTTTTTGCACGCGTCCTTCTTGTCTCTCGCGAGAGAAAAATTTATCTTCTAAGATTTTTATCATCGCCCATCTCTCACAGTTATTACGCTCTTATTCGACATCTCTCCCGGTTTCCTTGATACTTTCAGCTAATTACGTTTTGATTAAAGTCTCCTTGTATATTCCTATACTTTTGTGAGAAATAAATCTCCCTGGAATACAATCAATTTCCCTCTCTGTCTCTCTCTCTCTC